CTACCCCTACATTTTCATCTATGCTTACCTCCATGTTCTCCACCTCATCTTCATCAATCTTCAAAGAAAAAGAATGCTCAGTATTGTTCATTACAATTGATATATTTGTAATTCCCGTTTCTTTAAATATTTGTACATATTTGTCCACTATTGCATCATTTTCTATCTCTTTGCAAGGTGACCATTTCACACGTTTCTCCTTCTGCCCATGGTCAGGAATAGAGATATCTTCTGTTTTGTTGTTATTGTCACTTGCAAACTTTACTAAGTGTTCAGTGCCTGCATTCCCATCTCCTCCCTGAATTTCACTTTCCATATTCCCATCACTATCTTTATTGTTGACATATTTATCTGTTGTTTCATTGTTGTTTTCACTTTTAAACTCTACCAAATGTTCAGCGTCATTTCCATCAGTTATTTCCTCAAGAACTTTCAACATTGCATCAATAATTCCATCTCCATCTATGCTACTGTCTTCTTCATCTTTAACATCTTCAGCAAGGAAAACAAATGGCTTTTGTTGAGGTGTTGTTTCTGTGGTTTGCCCTAAACTGGAAGGACAACCAATATCTGTCTGTGTACACAAGTCTTTGTTGATAACTGGCTGACCAATCATGGCCTGATTGTCTCCTATTAAAGACTGAAATGATATTTTAATGATTTAATTGATTATACAAATCAAACTGTTGATAAATCACTTTAACATTTTACAGGCAGAGGTGTGTGTGTAGATATATTTAGTCATTTTTGCAAAAAAATAAATAAATAAAAAATAAACAGTCAAATTATATGAAAAATATTATTTATTTAGAACATATACTGCTGCTTTTTTGGACAAATATCATCATTATTTCCAGAGTTATGCACTACCTATGGTACTACTAAATTGCCTTTTGATTACAAAATATGAATGATCACGCCCTTATATAAATATACTGAAATACCAGGCAGTATAAAAATTGTGGGGCTGTTGATTTCTTCTTACTTTTTAAATAGATGCTTGGCATAAGAAATTTCTTCTTTGAATATAGTATGTTGAAGAAAGGCAAAGTGTCCTTTATCAAATTCGCTTAAAAACAAGCTCTTTATATTTCTATTCAGTTTCCAACAAGTTTTGAAAAGTTTTGGACTGCGCAGAATTTTGTGAATTAATTAACTAAGAACTAAGAAGAGTGCAATTTGGTCTGAAATCAAACGCAGGCGGGAGTGTCATTTATAATTACAAGTTTGATTTCAGACCAAAATTGCATTTAATTATATCCATTTTGAAAACCTAATAAAAAACACGCTGCTTATTCAACAAATACTAATTGACTTTGTTAAAGCCGGAACCAGAAAGTCTTTTACATGTCATTTGAAATTCATAAACTGACAGGTCATGTCACTTCACTTAGAGGAAAACTACGAACTTGACAAATTTCAAACGAGCAGTTTGCGTTTAAGCTTTATTTCAGTCTGACTAAATTATGGAGTCCCTCTGTTTCGTCTGTTGCAAAGAAGATCTAAAGAGTTGTTGTGGGATCTTTGCTCTTTGAGATGTATTATAGCAACACGTTAGCCGATGCTGAAGACACACCGTACAAAATACACTATCTTCGTCCAGCTGATCAATTCTTACGCACAAAATGTATGTCGTAGATATAATAGAGTGCACGCCAAAAAAGCATGAAACAATTCTTAACTATCAACATCTAATAAGATTTAGTTATCAACTAACTAAGAATTTACTGGGGCATGAACACAATGCCAGAAAGGAAACTTGTCTTTGTTTATGCCTCACTAAATCTTTAGTTAGTTGATAAGAACTTATTAGGCGCTAATTACTTAAGAATTGTTTCATGCTTATGTGGCGTGCACTCTAGAGTAAAACTAGTGCTTCAACAAAGGAAGAATCGACCGCGTAAAATTCAATTGTGTCAACTAAATGAGGCTAATTAACATGAAGTCATTCATGCAAAGAGAGTGAAAATCTACATAGTCGTTTAACTTACACAAGGCCACTTGCGTTCTCCTGTCACTTTGTTGTAGTAATACAGAGTCTGTCCTGATTTACACTTGTATTCTATCCATNCTTTGAAAACATGTCTGTAAACTTTTTTTTTATTTCCTATGGCGTTTCGTCGGACACTACACCTAGAAAATAGAACATCTGATTTTAGTCAAGAATAAAATTAAAACAGGACAAAAGAGAGCGTTCAGCCTCGGTGATCTTCTTTTGTCTTTTTGATTGATTCCTTTTTATATAAGAATATATAAAAGTAAATTCCTAAGGCTTTGAAATGGGAATAAAAACAAGCAAGACGTCTAAATGTCTCCAATAAAGTAGGAAAATCAAAAGATTTTTTTTTCATTTTCACCTCATATTTAAAATAAAAACAGAAAAAAATGCATAAAACATAAAAATGTCCTTTATACAATGGTACATGTTTATATAGGGGAAGTGAGTGGCTCAACTGAGTACATTTTATTCTTGTGGTGATAGAAGACATCTGGTGTGTAATGCTGTTAGTCTATTCTCTTCCTGTACGGTACGTGGTATCCAGCTTTCTGTACTTTACAATAAGGTCTAGAGTACTACTACATGAAAACGTGTCAGAAAAGCTATCTATTTGAAAATTTGGAATCATACTTTTTTTAGATAAGGCAAATGTCTCGTGCTTAAATTGGTAAAAATATATTCTTTAATATATAATTTCATCAAATATTATAACAATTCAAGTGTTTTTAAAAAAAGGCTAAGTGTGATGTTTGTGCGTCTATGCTAGCCGATGCTAGCCAATCGGAGAAGCGGTCGCGCGCGCGTTTTCGTGGCGGGAAAATTTTTACTTCCGGTTGAAAGGTTTTTGTTTACACATGGATAATAAATAAAATCACTGTGATTTTATTATCCATGGTTTACATAAAATCAGTATGGTATCATTCAAAAAATATAATCTTCGGTGCAAAACATCAAATGGACGTATTTTTTTTCAATATTTATGTTCTTCACGGCCTCTTCTTCAGAACCAAGCATGGGTTTGACGATTTTAATCGATTTTAAAAAACATACGAAAGTTATTGGCATTTTTCGCTTATTTGTGGCATTTAAAAAATCGTAAAAAGCTTATTTGGCAATCATTCTAAAAACGAATGATTGGTTTTACGGAGTTAAATCTAAAGATTAATTTCATCCATTTTAAATCGTTTAATATACTTTGCTTGATGAAATTATAGCATTTTTTCGTATTAATGACGTCACGCGATGACGTCATACAACGACGTCATAGGATGTGTTATTTTTGTTTGGGAAGGCTTAACACTCAATACGAAAGCGATTTTACTTYTGTTTGTCATTTTAGASAACTACTGAATTTCCCTAGCAACGGATATGTCAGTCAGTACACCCTTAATTAATCACAGACCTCATTTAATCACTTATTCCAATAAATCTAGAAGAAAATTCGATTTGACAGTTATTTGCCATGTTTCTTTATTTTGGTTCACGGATTTCAGTGAGCGAGAGCGTAACACCGGAAGTGATTGCGAAAGAATCCTACAATAGACACATGAATGAAATCCTGTCACCAAACCCAATACACACCATGGATGATCCTAGTACTAAATTCTTGTGATACCAAAAAATAGATAAACGTCCAAAATTTCACTTTGCAGTATCAGAACATTCAAAGGGCCTCTCTCGTTACTCGTCAGTCAGGCCGAAATTGATTCTGGACTGTATTTTCGACCAATCACGTTGCAATATTTCTAATTTGGCGGGAATGTCAGTAGGCTCAGTCTCCAGCCGTCGGGATTTTGTGCGCCCGCGATACTCTCTCCCCTGASGGCTGSGCGCATGGGGTTCGAAACGTGTCGCGCATGTCTGTGACGTTTTTGTGTAATTAGCATATTATGAATAACGGAAGTGAATTTTTCAGTGAACGGAAGTGAAATATCTGACAACAGCCGTATTAAAAGGTTTTGCTACAAGACGGGAAATTATGTGAAATGAAAACTTCGCGAAGTGGCGATATAATGTAATAGTTAGCGCTTTAAAAAAGAGAAAGCAATGGAAATTACCCCAAGTAAAACATGTGTAGGGTTTAATAATCCAAATGGATATATTATCTGCCAGAAAGACGAGCAAAATACACTAGTGGCGCTGTTTGAAAAATAAGAGATTTGCCCGAGCCAGTAGGAAGAATAACAAGGACATCTTTTCCAAGAACAATCTCTTTAAGAGCCTTTTGCTGTATTTCTCTAAATTCGTCCAAGCTAAACGACTTCAGAGCGTTCAAACGAGAATCTCAANATTTCGTGCGCCCGCGATACTCTCTCCCCTGACGGCTGGGCGCATGGGGTTCGAAACGTGTCGCGCATGTCCGTGACGTTTTTGTGTAATTAGCATATTATGAATAACGGAAGTGAATTTTTCAGTGAACGGAAGTGAAATATCTGACAACAGCCGTATTAAAAGGTTTTGCTACAAGACGGGAAATTATGTGAAATGAAAACTTCGCGAAGTGGCGATATAATGTAATAGTTAGCGCTTTAAAAAAGAGAAAGCAATGGAAATTACCCCAAGTAAAACATGTGTAGGGTTTAATAATCCAAATGGATATATTATCTGCCAGAAAGACGAGCAAAATACACTAGTGGCGCTGTTTGAAAAATAAGAGATTTGCCCGAGCCAGTAGGAAGAATAACAAGGACATCTTTTCCAAGAACAATCTCTTTAAGAGCCTTTTGCTGTATTTCTCTAAATTCGTCCAAGCTAAACGACTTCAGAGCGTTCAAACGAGAATCTCAAACGACGAATTGTCCGCCATTTTGTTACACTGTGACGACGGCTGCCTGCTAATTTATTAATGATATGCCCCTGAAAATATCGGGGGCCACTCGCTGATTGGTCGAGACTGACAATAGCGAACCCCATGCGCCCAGCCGTCAGGGGAGAGAGTATCGCGGSCGCACGAAATCCCGACGGCTGGAGACTGAGCCTAGAATGTCAGCCGCAGCTAATTTTTCGCTTGCGCAGTCGACGCGATTTTCTCAAAATGTGGCTAAAGGAGCGACAATGCTGTTTTGATAAAAAAATACTAACAAACACTTATTTGAATCTCCATTAAGAGGTATGTGTACAAAAACAGATCAAATGCGATGTTCAGCTTCAATCGTAGCCGAAAATGGCGTCGCCTGCGGAAGCGAAAAATCGCTCGTTTATACCCGCGGCTTTTAGGTGAGGTGGAATAACGAATATTGAATTTATAAAGGATAATATAAAAATTAGGTAACACCTAATAGCGGAGCTCCAATAGCAATATAGAAGCTGAAAATGATTTTCTAGTACTGCTATTTCAAAGGTAGATGCTCCGTTCTAAGGAATATGAGTTACAACAGTTTTGTTGACATGCAACAAATATTATAAAGAGTATGTTTATGAGAATTTAGTTCGTACTAATATTGAGCTGCGGCTTTACGGTGAAGTGGAATAACATGGAATAACAAATAATGAATTAAAGGATATTTAGGTATAATTTCATAATTGAATATCATAATTCTAACGCGCTGATTGGTCGAATTTGTTGCTTCAATGAGCGATGCTCACCTGATTGATCGTTTTCAACCATTCCCATGAGATTCAAAAGATAAAAGACCTGCGGCCATGTTGGAGGAATGAACAATGGATACTAACGAGAAATCCTTTGTTGAAGTTCCTCCAAGATGGCCGCTATGACGTAACCTGAAAACGAAGAATAGGTGAATATTGGATTTTTTCGCAAAATGGCGTCRTCAGCRAGTCGTTGTTGGATTAAAAAATGGATTAAAAAAATTGGATTAAACATTTTTACAGGTAAGTTTTGTTTATTTAATAATAAAAACATTGTCTAAAACTACTTTTTTATTTATCGTTTTACGTCAAACAGGTTGAAATTTGTAGGTTTTCGCCTGGTTTATTTACATTTTACTCGATACTTTTTTTTGACTGAATGGTTTCAACAACAGTCTGAATTCACTGTCAGCTTTGAAGATATGGATACAAGTGAATTAAACAAGTGTCTATCACGTGAACATAAGGAAGAAAAATGGCAATTATTACAAGAAGACGACTTTGCTGTCAATCCGAGCGGCTCTCGACCGCCATCTTCAATCCCCGCCATATAACATTTTACGAAAATGCAGTAGTTCTTTTTCCTCTATTTTTTTTTTATGAATATTTACTTATGAAATTATACTAAAGGGTGAGCCGCGAGGTAAATATTCATTGATAATCACTGAGCCCCGAGGTGAATAATTGTTAAATATATAAAAAAGGACATTCCTAAGGCTTTGAAACTTTAACTAGGAATAAAATTAAGTGAGCAAGACGTCTAAATGTCTTCAATAATGCAGKTCAATCAAAATCTTTTTTTWAATATTTATTTATTTATTTTCACCTGATATTTTAGAATAAAAACACAAAATGCATAAAACATAAAAATATCCTTTGTACAATGGTGCGTGTTTATATAGGGGAAGTGAGTGGCTCAACTGAGTACATTTTATTCTTGTGGTGATAGAAGACATCTGGYGTGTAATGCTGYTAGTCTCTTSTCTTCCTGTACGGTACRTGSTATCCAGCTTTCTGTACCTTACAATAAGGTCGAGAGTAATTCGCTTTGACTGTTATTCGCCATGTTTCTTTATTTTAGTTCACGGATTTCAGTGAGMASGWAACACCGGAAGTGATTGCTAATTGGTCGAAAAGAATCCTACAAYAGACACATCTATGAAATCCTGTCAACAAACCCAATWCACACCATGGATGCTCCTTGTAATAAACTCTTGTAAAAGAAACAACAACAATAAAATGAACTGAAACACCCATCTTTGGTATAAATCTCATTTTGCATTATTAGAACATTCAAAGGGCTTCTCTCCAGTGTGTAATTTTTGATGACGGTTCATATTTGACCGTCGTAAGAATTTCTTTTTGCAGTRWGAACATTGAAATGGTTTSTCTCCASTGTGTATTCTCAAATGTTGCTTTAAACCTTTCTTAGTTGTGAATGTCTTTTTGCAGTGAGAACATTCAAAGGGTTTGTATCCCATGTGTGTTCTTAGATGAGATGACAAATTTGATGTCTGTGCAAATTTCTTTTCACAATAAGAACATTCAAAAGGTTTTTCTCCGGTATGTCTTCTTAGATGAACTGTCAAATGTGATGTCTTTATAAATTTCTTGTTGCAAAAGGAACATTCATGAGGTTTCTCTCCAGTGTGTGTATATAGGTGATCTCTTAAAGTGGTCTTATGGGCAAACCTTTTTTGGCAATAAGAACATTCAAATGCTTTCTCTCCGGTGTGTAATATCACGTGACTTTGCAAATGTGCCCTTCGCGTAAATGTCTTTTTGCAGTAAGAACATTCGAAAGGTTTCTCTCCAGTGTGTATTCTTATGTGAACATTCAAATTATATTT